AAATTAATCAATAATAATTACAAATATATACAAATAAACCCTAAAATGCAAATATATTTACAAATATATATACAATATCATAATGTCCTTATTTTTGCGACAACTTGTTCAAATTAAATCCTTCTTCTTGCAACATTCAAATTGATGTCATGCAAATGATCCTACAGTATTATAATAATGAACTAAAACCAACACTTTTATAATAATGAAATATTAACTATAGTAGAAGGTGGACCATGGTCCATGCATGATAATTATCATCTTTGACCTAGTCCTATTTAACATATTTTTAATGACAGATTTGAATAATTTTGTCAAACCGTTTGCAAATTTTGTCAGAGATTCTGTCATTCCGCCGCCGGAGAAAAGCCCTCCGTTGCCCACCCCGGTGATCGTGGCGGAAACTCAACATTGTCGCCAGAAAAGATACTTTTTCTCTGCGTCTAAGCTAAACTCCCTTAAAGCCATGGTATGTTTTACAATTAGGTACCACAGATCTTTATCACACAAGAAAGAGATACGCTCACTTTGAACATAATCCTCGCACAACTCTCCTTACATTACTATTCTTAATTCTAAATAATTATATTCTTAATTCTTAATAGGTAAAAGCCAAAACGGGGATACAAAATCCGACGCGCAGTGAACTTGTTGTAAGTGCATTTCTTTACAAGTGCATTGTCTCGGCAGCGACAATACAAGAAGATTCCGACACCCTCCGACCATCCCAACTCTTCACTACGCTAATATCCGACCGTTGGCTCTCCCACGGAGGTTAGCCTCAACATCCGCCGGAAATCTACTTTCCACGTTTTTCATATCAACAACACACAAGGATGAATTGGACATGGCGAAGTTAGTAGGCGACTTGAGGAACAGAAAACAAGGGCTCTATGCGAAAGACATGACCAAAGAAAATGAGTTGGCCTTGGAGATATACGAATCCACAAAAAGGGGAGACAAGCCATACAACGAGGATGGGTTTGATAAGTACTTTTTTAGTAGCTTATGTAAATTCCCAATGTACGATGTGGATTTTGGTTGGGGGAGACCGATGCACGCGAGTATTCCAATGGGTCCGTTCAAGAACTTCATTGTCTTGTTCGGGAATAAGAGTATGGATGGTGTAGATGCGTGAGTGACAATGGAAGAAGGTCACATGGCTGCGCTTGAGCAATATGAAGAGCTAGAAGAGTTTGCTGGTTCTATCTAGTTGGTAATCATATTTGGGAACTTGAGAATGGAAGAAGTTCATATCTAGTTGATTATATATAACTATATTTGCTCTGATATGGTTTTAAATGTTATTGAAATCCATGTTTATTTCTATTACATTATGTGCTAATTTTTATTTCAAATAAATTTTGCTTCGTATTTTCTGCAAACGCACATGGCCTAATTAGGTGTAACAATTATGTAAGAGTATTAGTCATATACAAATATAATGTTAGATAAAATATTTTGTCCAATGATTAAATATTATTTACAACTTCAGTATTATGTAAGAGCAACATGAACTCTCACCGTATCGATCACACTGATTAGCCAACAAAAGCCCAACATTCAGGATCAGCTTTAATTTCCAAGTGCTTTGAAGTCTCTATTTTAAAATTAAACATAAGAATATAAGCTTTGGAATGTCACATTCTTTTTGTTATGTTATAACCTGAACCAAGCGTTCCCTTAATTTTTCAAAAAATATTTTGTGAATAGTAATATCGGCTTCTTTTCCCTTTTTTGTTGTGTGATTTATTTTAATTTGAACGGGTTAAAATACCAACGTGGCACGCTATTAGGGTGGTATTGTGGTACTGGGAAGCCATAGAGAAGAGAGAACGTAGCAGTAAGGTAGAGTCACCATCAACGTCGTCTGGTTGTGTGGGGGGAAATATATGATGGTACGTGGCCATGCATGCATGAAAAAGGAAATAAGAAATGAAAATATTAATGTAATGAACAAGTGATGAAAATGACAAAGTATCCCATTTTTTCATTATTAAAAATTTTCCTCCTCCCAAACACGTATCTCTTCTCAGCATCTCGATATCTCCGAAAATCAGATGGAGCGCAGCTCAGGTGTTGAGTGTTGACGACGACAAATGTTGAGAAAATCCTTAGGTGTCTCCGGGCGCCTGATTTTACCTTACACCTCCCTTTTCTCTCTCTTATATATATATATATATATATATATATATATATATATATATATATATATATATATATATATAGGGAAGGGATCAGGTGTATTTGTGGCTTCCTATACGATTGTGCGGTAGATTAATGTGCGTGAGTTATATACTTAATGTGCGTGAGTCGCGTGCTTAATGTGCCTGAGATTTGTACTTAATGTGCGTGAGTGTGTAATGTTAATGTGCGTGAGTTTTGTACTTAATGTGCCTGAGTATTGTACTTTCACATGATAACCTACGACACACATCTCACAACACATGAAACATGTAGGGGAAAAACTACCACTACTAAATATCAATAGGTGTTTGTAATATAAAGAGTTCATATTAAAACTAAAATCTCAAGTCATATACGCAGCAAGGCAACTCTAAAGCTTCCTACACTATAATCTCATTGCATGATGAATCCCTCTGCAACCAGTAACCTAATTGCACATGAGTGCATGACACACTACGATTTTAAAAAAAAAAAAGAAAAAAAAAAAGGACATGTGTTGAAGATGAAAACAATGACAATGCTACCCAAAAGAAGATTAAGAAGAATTAGAGAAATTTAAACCAAAAGTAATATTTATTACAAAGTTGCAAACATTTATTATAGTGACAATTATAATCAATCTCTCATATATTATTTTGAATTTATATACTTTAAATTACCGATTTAAATAAACAAATTCAACATTTATTTACCTATGCATAATATTGCATTAATATACTTATTAAAAAATAATTATTGGGCATTATCCCATTCACGCAAAGCGCGTAAAAAAACTAGTTATATAGATGATAAGAATCGAAATCATTGAAAGTTTGTAAATATGTATTCAATTTAGAAGTTCAATGACTTTTGTAGATTTTTTAAAATAAAAAAGTTGATAAAAGTTTATTAATATTTCTTAATAGACTTTTATAATGTTTTACAAAGTTTTAAAAAGTTTTGAACGAATCTATAAAAATCAATCAAAATTTATTAAAATCTATCATTTTAAAAGTCTACAAAAATCATGATTGAATATATCCTAAGTTCAATGTAACTCTTTTTGACGATAATATGTTCGTTGATCTCTTTTACTCCGTACGTTGTTACTTGTTAGTGCTCATTTACTATTTAGTATGGAAATTCAATATCCTCCTTTCCCTTTATTTAAATTGATTTTATTTTCTTTTATTTTTTTCATTATGCAAATTGAGAAATTAGTTAATAAGAAAATGTTTTGAAAGACTTGTACACATCTAGCGCATTTGGTGTAGTGGTATCATAGTACCCTCCCATGGTACTAACCGGGGTTCGGTTCCCCGAATGCGAATGAGTTAAATTTTGAACTTCGAAAACACATGAAGTTCCTTTGTTCTCTTTTACTCCCTAGGTGGCTACGTTGTTGCTTGTCAGGGCACATTTCCCTTAATTCAAATTGCTTTGTTTTTTTATTTTATTTTTTTATTTTGTTTTATTTTGCATATGAAGTTCCTTTGTTCTCTTTTACTCCCTAGGTGGCTACGTTGTTGCTTGTCAGGGCACATTTCCCTTAATTCAAATTGCTTTGTTTTTTTATTTTATTTTTTTATTTTGTTTTATTTTGCACTATGCAAATTGAGAAATCTACATCTACATCTACAATCTACAACCTATCTATCTATCTACAATTCTAATAAGAGTCAATAATGTTAAGCCTTTAACTGGAACAAAAAATGTCGATAATATTGTTTCTTAAAATGAATGGTCATATTATTTTGATTTTAGTATTTTTTTTAATGATTTTCCTTATTTACCCTCTATTATATTATTTTCTTCCCTTAAATAATCAAAATTTCGTTACTATTAACTTTAGTAACGGAATATTCCGTTAACTATTTATTATTTTTAACTTACTTATTAATTTCTATAGGAAATGTCTTAGGTTCAAATCTCATCCCAATTAGAGTTGACATAATTGTTAAACATATACTACAAATATGTTAAAATGTATTAAAAAATATATAATATAAAGTTTAACATAAACTTTGGTCAAATAATTAGTCCGACTAAATACATAACATTTAAAGTTAAACATCAAAGATTATAAATCAAGAACTTTAAAAATCATTTGATTTTTATGCATTTAAAAAAAAAAAAACCAATTTAGGTTAAGTTTTTTTTTTTCGTTTAATTAATCTTCTTTTGATTATTTAGATCAGAATAAAACTTAATATTTCAATTATACTTTTGCATTATTGGTATGATTTAGGTCGTTATGGTATTAATATTTTTTGTATGTATTTTTATAATGGTACAATTGTATATTACTTTACAAATATTATACTATTTTTTTTTTATCGGACAAAATTGTTCTTACATCATTGTTAGACCTGCACGACTTAACTACAAAGTTGTTGATCATAAATAAAATTACACATGGACTCTAAAACGGTAGGACCATTTTTCAAAAACTTGACAATGTTGACATCTCACTAGCTCCAATTAAGCAAGTTTACACATCAGAATTTTATCAATGCATGAAAACATCTAAATAAATTTGTAAGTTAATTTTTACTATATAATTATAACAATATCTATTATAACTATATATTTTGAATTATTTATTATCATCATCTATTGACATGAATTGTAACAATTGTCATTGACAAACTGTCAAAACAATTTGTATCCACAACGAATGTAAATTAAAAAGAAAATCAATGATTTCATTAATACATATGCATCTAATTAATTTAGAATTAGATGTTTATAATGCATTTATTTAAAAAAATTATTCATTATAAAAAATTTAAAAAGAAATATAATTTCATTAGTTATTTTTTGGAAAAGATAACTCAATTCATTAAATCGTAGTCAAGAAACGGGACCAAAAAGTCAGGAGGTACATCAAACCACTCCCCCGGACCTGACATAGAAACGGCTTCCCTTGCAAGAGCATGGGTCGCACGGTTCGCAGATCGCCTAACATAAGCAAAACTTACCCCTTGTAACAATGAGGCAACTTGTTTTACATCATCAATTAAAAAACCAAACGCAGAAAAGAAAGACTCAGACCTCAGTGCATGTATACATAACTGGGAATCTGTTTCTACATCTACTTCCCCCATGCCAGTATCACGTAACCAAGACAGCGCCTCACGCAAACACAGGACCTCAGCTTCAACAACCGTGTACCGGCCTTGAATCCGAAGGCAATTCGCTGCCAAGAAACGCCCATCATCGTCACGCAACACCCACCTCAACCCCATTGTGTTATGGGCAGTGTCAAAGGCAACATTGGTGTTCATTAGTTATATTATCTTTATTTTCTACAATTCAAAGATTCATTACCTTCAAATTTATTAATGTATTATATTCACTACATTGTTCATTGTTCATGACCTTCAAATTTCTGCTTATGATTAATGAATTAGCCTTTTATTTTCAAAAAAAAAAAAATATATCAAAGTTATAATACAAAATATGTTATATATATTTATTTACCAAGTATTTTATATAAATATAATAAATATTATTATTTTGTTCAATACTTTCACATGATAACCTACGACACACATCTCACAACGCATGAAACATGTACTATTAACTCTTTATCTTACAAGCACATATTGATATTTGGTAGTGCGTGGTAGTTTTTCCCCTACATGTTTCATGCGTTGTAAGATGTGGGTCGTAAGTTATCATGTGAAAGTATTTAACAAAATATTACGGAGTAATATTTATTATATTTGTATAAAATACTTGGTAAATAAATAAATAAATAAATATAAATATATATATATATATATATATATATATATATATATATATATATATATATATATATATATATATATATATATATAACATAGTTTGTATTATAACTTTGATATTTAATTACAAGATAATGTAAAAAGAAGACAATAAACAATGTAAGTGAATATAATAATTTAATAAATTTGAAGGTAATGAATCTTTGAATGGTAGAAAATAAAGATAATATAACTAATAAAATTATATGTCTTTTTAAATTTTTTATAATGAATAATTTTGATTTTGATTTACAAGAATTTGATGGGAGTTAGTTGATTGATGTGAGTCAAATTGTGCATATTTCTTGTATTAATTTGATTATGTTTGTTGGGTTCAATTTCGTGAAAATGGCAATTTAATTGCATATTCTTTTGTTTTGTCATTTAGATATGGTTTACTCTGATTTTGAATGTTTTACGATGTTTGGAGTGTTTTGGAACCATTTTAGGTCAAGTACAAGAGCAAGGGAAGTGCTAGGATTAATGACGAATTATACAATTATCATATAAATTAGGAAAAAATGCAATTTTTTTTTAATATTTATGAGAAAAAGTGTAATACTAATAATGGATAAATTAATTATTACTTATAAGGGTAAGTGTAATACTTATGAAAAACTTGACTCGTCCCAAAAATAAAGATCTATGAGACGATTTCATAGAAGATTTTGCCTTAAGGTTTTTAAACTCCTAAATTTTCATAAACATTGTATAATTATATTTTAATTTTTGATAGAATAATATATTGACTTTGTTTACTTTCAATTGGTATATTTTGTGAGGCCATTCAAATGTCAAATGAGAAGAGAGAGAACCGAGCTGAGCATGAGGTAGGAATGTAGAAAATGTATTTCAAGTATAAACTTTGAAAGATTTTTTTTTTTTGTCAAATTAGATCAATTTTCTTTTGACCATGATAAATATTTTTCATTAACTTCATTATATTTTCCATTTATAATTAAACACTGAAAAATATGAAAAATGACTTATGAATTTTTAAGTTAATCCTTAATTCTTTATTGAAAATGGTGAAATGTCCAATTAATTACGATTGATGAAGTTTGAGATATTTTGGAGAATATAATTTAAATGGAGTTAATTCTCAAAATAGTCCTCCAACTATGATCTTTTTTCAAATTGGTTCCTTGACTTTAAATTACACCCAAAGTGGTTCTCCGACTATTGAATTCTAAGCCAAAATGGTTCCCCGTTAGCTTTGGTGTTAAGTGAGTGTTAAAATAAAGGGCAAAAGGGACAATTTATATTGTTTGTTGTTTAGACCATTGACCATCCTACTTTTATTTATTTTAAAAAATAAAATAAAATTGACCAGCCAATTTCTTCTCAGTGAAATAATTACCTCAAATCCTCAAATTAAACAATAAACAAATTTTTTTAAGCTAAGAACCCGGTTATTGCTTAACTGCCCAGGCTTCGATAACGTTTGCTAATTCTTACGCACCTAAACCATGGTGAATAGTTTTACTTAATTTATTAGAACACTTAAGAATGGTTTGCTATTATGGATTATATAATATAAATATTCCAAGAGAATATTAACCAATAGGTTAATATGAAGCATTGGTCAATGGTATACTATGTATTGTTTGAATCTTAGCATCAACCTTTTAATGAGTACCTGATTTTGTCAAGGATGGAAGGTTGACCCGATTGAAGAAAAAAACTCATGAGAATTGAATTGAACTTCCAAAATTGGAAATACAGTGAGATTAAAGATGACTTATTTTTTCAAAATTGGAAAGGAGCTAGGCTGACATGACAAGGATGATGATGACCTCTTAAGAAATCAAATATTCACATTATCAGATGTGTGAATTAGTAAAAAATGGTGGTTACAAGTTTCAAGACTTTATCAAGAAGGAGACGTTAAAGCGACGGGGACAATGAAAACGGAGCAGAGTAGATGTGTAAGCTAGGATCTTCATTTTCTATTCCCATCAGTTTTCACCAAAAATTATTAGGATATATTTGGCTCTTTAGACATTCTCTTTTGAATTTTTCCAACATTTTTTATTCCCACATTTTTAGTAATGCAAAACAAATGCAATAAACAATAAGCTTCATCTCTCCAAAATCAGGTAGAGCTTCAAGTCACTTGTGTTTGTCCAGATCACTACTATGCTCATCTGCCTTTCCTTTCCTTTACCTGCAAACAAAACACTCCTCCCTTAATCTCCCTCCCCCATCAACCAACAAAAACTCACTTTTCCCTTTTCCAGATCCCAAAACAAACCGGCCAGCTACACCTACACAGCCAGTCCCACCCCATAGTCCCTACCAGGAATAAAGGGAAAATGAAGACCCATACACCTCTACTCTGCTCTGTTTTCATTTTCCTCGCTGCATTAACGTATTCTTCAGATGACTACTGCTCCCCTTACTCATGCAACCACGTCTCGGGACCGGAAATCAAGTTTCCTTTCCGGGTCGCCGGGCGGCAACCGGAGCGGTGCGGCTACCCGGGGTTTAATCTCTCGTGCAGCCACCTTGGGGAAACGATTCTCACCCTCCTGTCAACTCCAGGCAGTTTCGTGGTGAAACATATAAACTACGGCACTCAAATCATACGCATCTCTGACCCTCACAACTGCCTTTCCCAAAGAATCTTAAACCTTTCTCTGGCCGGCAGCCTGTGTTGGAGATTACATTCAAGATGGTGGTTTAAAGTGTGTAGAAGGAAGACACTCTTGTCCCACATTGGAAGGATAAGGGACTAATTCCCACCTTTTTAATACCAACCCATTTGGAAGGCTTAAACTATTGTAGAGAGAAAATGAAAGGGAACCCCACACGCGCGCCACTGCCACTTGGCACGGTTGCGTCGCGGTGTGGTTAGCTTTTTACTCGGGCTTTATTTTAATTCCGAGTTTTTTCCCTTTTAGAGGTAGATTTCATGTACAAATCTACCATCCACACATTAAGTTGTGGTGGAACAAGTCTTCCTATTCTTGTGGGCATTTTCACCACAATTTTTCCTAAAATCATGGAGCATGAATGGCTGAGAGGGGAGGGGCGGGTATTTTCAATACTATAAATACCCTGCTTCTCCTCAGTTTTATTCACTCATCAAATTCTCTTCTTCTCTTCTGCAATCCTGAGCTTCGGTGTTAACTGGTCGAAAGCAACCGGTAAGACTACAACCGTCTCCGGGAAATTTTTGCTTTTAAGGTAGTGTCTTGCACACGTCACTGATCCCTACAGGATTCATCCATTCTCAGCTTATAAAAAACAGTAGCCCCAGGTCTACGACATATTCTATCCGAATTTTTCCCCAACAGTTAAAAGCAAAAATTTTATTCTTATTTTCGGATATCATGTCGAGCTTCGTACCTAAGCCTACATCTGACCTTGCCAAGCTTCAACCTCTTGACGGCCTAAACTATCATCGTTGGGCAGTCAAGATGCTCATACACATCGAATCTGCTGAACTGGAATACGTTCTCACGTATGTTCCTGAACCTGCTCAAGCGAAAGCTGCTGACTCCACTAATCCTCAAACAGAGGACGGCTCCACTTCAACCCCTGCGTCTGTAACACCTGAACCTGTCACAACTGACAAGTCTCAAGACATCCGGGCTAAGTTCGAGCGGGATAACAAAACGGTTCGCGGTCTTCTGCTGCATCACATGTCTGACAACCTGTTAGACATCTATGCTAAATACAAATCTGCAAAGGAGATCTGGGACATGCTCAAAAAGAAGTATGGGGCTGATGATGCAGGTCGGAGGAAGTACACGGTTGGGAGGTGGCTCAACTATCGTATGGTGGATACGAAACCAGTGATCGAGCAAGTGCACGAATATGAGAATCTGGTGTCCGACCTTGAAGCTGAACTCATTCCGGTAAGTGAAATGCTACAAACCTATGCCTTACTTGAGAAGTTGCCAGAATCCTGGGGAGAGTTTCAAAACAAAGTAAAACATGAGTCCAAGGATTACTCCTGGGAAGAGATGGTCAATCACATCAACATAGAAGACGCCTATCGACAAAGGTCTGTTTCTAATTCTGGTACGTTAAAAGCTAACATGGTTGAATCTAGTGATGTTAAAGGTGATAGGTCCAGAACTGGGAGTGGTGGACAAAATAAAGGCTGGAAAAGAGGAGTCAAAGCCAACAATAACAACAAGTTCAAAAGCAACCAGAAGAAAGGGAAAGGAGGACCTTGTTACGTCTGTGGGAAGAACGGTCATCGCGCGGCGCAGTGCTATCGCCGATGGGGCGCAAACGACCAAAAGAATGTCCAACAAGAGAACAAGCATCAAGCAAACGTGGTGGAAGAGACTGAAGTCATAGCAGCGGTTGTGACGCTGGAAGCAAATGTGGTGACTGGCACGGAAGAATGGATCATAGACACTGGAGCAACTCGGCACTTCTGTGCGAGTAGGATCATGTTCAAGGAGTTTCGTGCCTTCACTCAAGGACAAGGAGATCAAGCC